GATGTGAAGGAGGTGGAAAGGTGTACATTTTCTAGCACATATATACATATATATGTAAATATATTTATATAATTACAGCATTCATTTGACTTATTTTAAAGCTTTTTTCTACCTGGTTTAAAAGGTTGTTAGATTAGCCTTCAGCACGCTGCACATTTGCTTGGTACAATTCGTAGGACTGTTTTCCTCCACTCCCCTAATTACAGCAGTGGATCAAAAGAAAGGCTTTTTTTCCCCCCCTCCAACTAAATGGCTTTTCTTTGAAGTTCTGGGAGCTCAGCAGAGGGTATTATTTTTCTGATGGTATGGAGCATATTTCGTGACCAAACGTATCACCCCCGTGGGCAGTAAATGGACTGTTCATTTGCAATTGGCCACCTGTGTGGCGCGGGATCTTTGATCTGGAGGTCTGATTAGGCACTTCTTCAGTCCCGCTACTTTCTCCTCGGAGGAGGGGGAGGATCTTGCTCTTTTTTTTTTTCCACTGAGCCTTCCAAGTGAGCGAGGCAGGAAATGATTTGAAAGATTTAAAGGGAGAGCGTATACAAGCACAGATAGTTCCTTCACATAACAGACCACAATAAAGGTTTTCTTAAACAATACAGTTCCAGACAATACACCAGATTATTTAATGCAGGGGTTCCTAACCCCCGGTGCGGGGACCGGTGCTGGTCCGTAGGTCATTTGATAATGTGCCGCAGTGGAACAGAGTTAAAAAATGTACTTTAGTTTTACTAATAAACTTCATTCAAAAAGAATCCAGTCACATAACTTTACTTTTTTCATTCAAAGATAATCTGTCAATGTTTCAAAACAACAGGTCAAAGGTCATTCAGACTCCGATACTAACAGAATAAAGTCTAAAAGATGTTTTATTTTGAAAATTGAATGACCCTTCAAAGATATTATTACCGGTCCACAGTAACGGCTGATATAAAAAAAGTCGGGGACCACTGATCAAATGGACATTAATGGAGCAGACTGGTCCTTGGTACAAAAAAGGTCAAGGACCACTGATCAAATGGACATTAATGGAATAAATCAAGAATGGAGAATAGTTAAAGAAATTTTGCGTTTAAATTTTGACTATGCGAGCAACAAGACATAGCAATAGTTATAGTTAAATTTTGTGTTTAAATTTTGACTATGCGAGCAACAACAACACTCTCATCCGCGGTGGGGTGCCCTGGCCCACTTCCTGTGAAAAACAAGGAGCTGTGCAGAAGTGCCGTCGGAACAAATGGCCTGAATACCTCGTCATAAAGAAGCAGTTTGAGTCTAGACAAAGCATTTCCTCTCGTTGGTGCAAACTAATAAAAAATGGACTGTAAAGCAAATATTCAGAACATCAGGCGACGGGTTCCTGTAGTAAACTGAGTCCATGTCAGTGTTGATAATTAAAATAACTTATCATCACAGCAAGCTTATCCAGGAGACAGCTCCAAAATTCCAGTGGGGGGAGCACAGCTCCTCTTTGAGTTCTGAACCCCGTGGTGCTCTTCATCTGCAGCAGATTTGGGAAAACTACGGCCGGTGGGCCAGATACGGCCCGTTGGGGTTTCTAATCTGGTCCACCACACACCTGACTGATGTCAATCCTTCTCTATGTCATGCGTCACAACAAATCAACTGTCATTTTCTGTTGTTGCCACTAAATGGCGATAGACATCAAATGTGTCAAATCATCTGTGGAGGTTTATTCTTGAACTTTTTATTTTAATTATTTCACCCAGTGTTCTACATCCCACTGATACTGAACCGGGCCGCCAGTCGAATTTTGAAACCTCATTTTGGCCCATGTGCCACAGTTTGCCAACAGCCTGACCTACAGTACAGTCGGTGTCAGCAGGTGCGTAGTACCTTCACACTGGTCGCCGTAGAAGCCCGGAGCACACGTGCAGTTGTACGTTCCTGAGTCGGTGAATTCACAAATCTGATTCCGGGTACAATTTCCGTCTTCACACAAATCTGAAAAAGGAGGATAGTGGACAGAGGTGAAACTTTTATAAATGATTTTTTTAAAATTTACTTTTACTGTTGCTGATTTTACCTGTTTGGTTTTTTGTATCGGTTGAATTACTGTGAAGCTCCATCAGTTCTGAGAAAAGAACGTATGATTTTGGTTATTTACAAGGTAAATAAACGACTTCAGATGACAACAAGTATTTACTGACTTTTCAGATAGAAAAGTGCTGGCACTGCTTGTGTTTTGTACACAAAAACAGTCTGACTGAACTGCACTTTAATCATAAGATAGTTGGAGTCAGTTGAAAAATTATTATTAAATCACTAAAACAGTGATAACTAACTCGGGGACCGCGGGCCAAATCCAGCCCGTCCAATCTAAGACTGGATTCCAAAATTGCGAGAGTCAAACAGAAAATAGTTTAATTCTATTTGCGTGGACTTGTTGTCTGGTTAATGACCCGATCAGTACTTTAACAGCAGTACAAAACCAGACGTGGGCTAACTTTTCGACTCGCTAAACTCGTCCTAAAATTTAACAGGGGTGGCTGGGTCAGGAGCAGATAGATGGAGCGTTCGTGTGAACTAAGATAAACGACATGCATAAAGGCTAAAATCATTTTCTACGCCATCTATTGGGGAATCGTGGGTATTGCAGGGAAAAGGCAGAAGTATAATTTAAAGTGAATTATAATAATGATGATATAATGATAATATAATTTGGAAAGGTTTGGCGGGCCGGATTAAAAAGCTGAATGGGCCGCACCCGGGCCCCGGGCCTTAGTTTTCCCTTTCCAGGTACAGAACTGTTTCCAGAAATCTTAAGGCCAGGTTATTGACTGGCCTGCTTTAAAACCCTAATTTTAATTCCTTTTGAAGTAACCTGAAGACCAGTCCCCATGCCAGGGAGGAAGAGCTTAGAGAGATTTGCCAAAGAACTGACTGGGATTCCTCAGAAGTGCTGCCTGAAACATGTTGAAAATAACCTTAAACAACTGCAAGAATTTAGCAAAAAAAAAAAAAACAAGTGACAGACTCACTTTTAGTATCTGTTCAATCAGAGTGTGTTTACATCATATGGGTGGGTTGTTTTTGCACAGAAAGTCAAATAATATCAATAAAAGCATTTACATCATATGTGGGTTGTTTTTGCACGGAAAGTCAAATAATATCAATAAAAGCATAAAATAAAGGCAGTTTGTCCAGAAATGCAACGTTACTGATTATTTCTTGCAACTTAATTTATGACTCAATTCATGAAACGATTGCAGGCAGCGACGACTTAAAATGCAAAAAAAAAAAGTGTGAATAAGAATGATAGAAACATTCAAATCAAGATGCGGCGACAAAACCAGCTGACCGAGACGCGGCGCGTTGCCATGAACATTAATATTACTCTCAAAGAGGTATGATAGGATTTCCTTTATGTCCGTTCCAGTTGGACACCAGTCACATTAGAGGAAGCCAAACTGAAAGAGGAACATATGGCTTCCAGACTATGTGAACTCCTTTTTTTATTGGAGTTGATTTGTTGGTTTTTTTTAAACATCCACCTCTGGCACAATTTGAGCGGAATTCTAGTCACCTGTCTCACAGAGGATTCCAGTGAAGGGAGGAGGGCAAACGCAGGTAAAGTTGGCCGCCGAACTGATGCATTCTCCTCCATTCAGACAAGGGTTTGACCTGCAGTTGTTTAGATCTGCAGAGAAAATGTTCAGTTACAAATGCAGTTCAACAGCAGTCGACTATAAACCACGGCCGTAGCTGTTATTGCATGTGATCCAGTCCCACGTCGGCACAAGCGTTCATGTGCAATGAATGGGCTTATAATTTAATTCTGCACCGGGTTCAGATTTCATTGCAAATCAATCAAAAGGGAAGACAGCTCCGCCAACGTCTTTGTGGAAACCCTCCTGAGTCGAGTGAACTTTCTCACCGCGGTTCACTGCTTCGGTGTGTGACACGGAGGGAAGAGAAGTTGTTTGCAAATCAAATCAACCTTAAGCTCAACTTGGACCCGCTTTCCCACATAGACTGGGAAAGTCTTCGCTCGCAGTCATCTGCCAAACGGCTGGGTTTCACGTAGAAAAAAAAACATTTCCTCCCAGGAGGAGATGCCTACTTTTTCCCCAGGGCTGTGCTCACCTGTCTCGCACAGGACACCGGTGTAGCCCGGTTCGCACACGCAGGTGAAGGTGACGCCGCTTTGCACGCAGGACGCATTGTTGGAGCAGGGGCGGTCTTTGCACACATCGTTTTCTGAAACAGAAGAAGAGAGAGCGACAACAGGAGACGTGACTGTGGAATATTGACTCAGCTGATTAATAATATCCCCTCCGCTGCTCCCCAGACTCTGCACGTGTGCGCTGCTGGCTGTGATTTAGAGACTTGATTCATCTGTACAGACCGGGGCCTGGGACACAAGACACCAAAGAAATCGGACTAAAATATTCTTATAAAAATAAGGGAAAAAATGTTCGAATGATCCGACGCTCTCAAATGTCTCAGCGGAGACAGCGTTGACGGATTAAGTGAGACTGTTTAAATTGCTTCGACACAACGGTTCTCAAGGCGGGGGGCGAGGCCCTCTGAAGGAACTTTAATATGAATATTTGATTTATTTGTCCAACAGTGGGAAAAGATTGATTTGTGATAAAAACTTGACTTTGTTCGATGAGTACAGCAGTTTTTGTTAAATAAACTATTAAAATTGATACAACTTTAAAGAAATCATGTATCCTCCTTAAGTTTCCCTTGTTCAACTATTTCTTTCGCTACTACTACAGCATCTCAGCTGCTCATACTATAAACACAATTTTCACAAACGTTAAAGCACTCACTTGAAATGCAATAAAAATGGAAATTGGGTAACACTACAAACAAGTAAAATTCGAGCTAAACAGTTAGCAGGGGCATCCACCGATGGTGTACTCCATGCTAACCTGTGTGACCACCACTCGCTTTATTAACAACTTTTCTGTGCTCGAAATATGGTAGTAATGTATAGTTTCAGTGAGTTGACAACAAGAGTAGAAAGAAGTGAAGAGAACTATTGAGTCCTAGACTAAACTTCAAGGGTGGAACTGCTGCTGAATGTGGGTGACCTTTGAACTTTTCAGTGCTAAAGCATTAAAAACCAAAGCAACGTTGATTTAGAACTTCTTCTTGACATTATATTTTACATTACAGACAGCTACCATGTCAGTAATGAGACAGCTTCATGCTAACAGTAAGCCTTTACGTATCAGTAAAGAGAAATATAGTACATTTTATAGATAGTACTTCTATCTATAACTACTACTATCACTTCAATTACTGTTGCTACTATGAAAGTGACGGTCGCTGTTACAGAAAGCAGCATCGACGCGGACGACGAGCGTACCTGTTTCACACAGACTCCCCGTGTATCCGGGAGGACACTCGCAGGAGAAGCTGTTGATCAGGTCTGTGCAAGAGCCTCCGTTCTGGCAAGGATGTGAGGCACATTCATCGATGTCTACGGAGGAAAAAAACAAAATGAGTTGTTTTATGCTTTATTTTGTGTGAATTTTTTAAATCTTTTTTAAGCTTGTGTCAAGGACGACAGAGGAAAAAAAAAAAACAAGTGTGGACAGTAACTCACTAATCTGACATCTTCGACCGCTGAAACCAGCCAAACACGAGCAAGTGAAGGAGGGGTTGCCCGTAATGCAGTCGTCGATGCACTGGCCTCCGTTCAGGCAGGGCCGCAGGTGAGGACACACTGATGCTGCAGAGAGAGGGAGGAGTTACAGGGAATCGGCCATGAAGGAATGCATTTGAACAACGAGAATGTTTCAACCAGGGATGGCTCGAGCCAATACTCAGGATCGGTACTGGTTCTGGATCGAACATCGAGCAAAAACACTATAGCCCGTTCAATCCGATACCTCAGCTAGGTATCGGATTCATATTGGTATCAGCAGATACTCCCAAGTTGCAGTATTGAGCCAGCCCTAACTTCAGGTGACCTATTTGTTTCTACCGTCGTTGGTTAACTCACCAGAGTCATTGCAGCCACCCACTTCCACCTGCGCATTGTCAATGCGGAACACCCATTTGCCGGGGTAGCCGACATTGGTGGTTCCCTCCACGTTCGCCACGTCAGCTGTGCGAGAGCCAGGAATGTTGAAGTAGCGTTTGCCGTCACCAGCATTAAAACCTGCCTGGTTTCAAAGAAATGGACAAGAAGAAGACAACGAAAGACCTAAATTAGCTTTGATCAACTATGAAATGTTAAGACGCGCTCATTGGTTTATTGGTTATGGTCGGATTATGCTATATACCCATCCACCCATCCATCCATCCATCTGCCCATGCGTCCATCCTTCGGTCGTTCACCATCCGTCCATCCATCCATCTATCCATCCATCTATCCATCAATCCATCCATTCATCCATCCATCCATCCATTCATCCATCCATCCATCTGCCCATGCGTCCATCCTTCGGTCGTTCACCATCCGTCCATCCATCCCATCTATTCCTCTATCCAATAACCCATCATTTGTACTAAACTATGTTCCTTGTGTATTTGCGTCACATCACCAATACTACTTCACTCTGACGACAAGCCATGTGATCTTACCTGTGCTGCGATCCCTCCCAGTCCTGCCTGATTTCCTCCACTGCTGGCGTGCATGCCTGTGGTCCAGGTTATATTATTGTACTGGAATACAGTGAAGGAAAGCTCGCCGTCTGTAATAAGCACCACTTGGAAAGAATTTACCTGCACAGAGGAGAACAGGCCCAGATCAAACTCTTCCCGATGCCCAGGACACTTAAACAATTCATAAACACTTCGTAAAAAAAGCCCATAAAATCTCCAAATCCGTAAAGTCCACCAGCTCCAGCTCTGTAACCCTTGTTGTCAGAGGACTTTAACGGTGAAATAGGTGTTAGAGTGTCTCGTCTTTTCACACTGTGTTTGTTATTGACCGTTCTCTTCCTGCCCTTGGCTCATTAATGAGGCTGGAACGAGCCCATATCTCAACTCTCTGTCTAGAACGTCTCACAGTTCCTTCTTCTTTCCCTGTAATCAGTCTTATCAAATCATGATCCACCATCATTCATCATCCATCTATCAAGCCAATGACCACCAACTGGTGGCCCGCGGGCCAAATCTGGCCCACAAAATTCTATAATATGGACCGCAACTGGATTCAAATATAAACTTCGAATAACAATGTTAGACGGAAATGTGATTTTTATTTTATTTTATTTGAGTGTCCGGCCCCCAAAGTGTCTGTAGATGGTGACCTCTGCTCTAAGCCTTCTGAAGGGGCGGGGTTTACCGTGGACATGTCTCAGCACCAGAGACAAACAACCACTGACTTTGATCTATCTCTCCATCCATCCTTCTATCCATCCATCTATCCATCCATCCATCCATCCAGTGGCTACATTTGTCCAGTTTAGTTTGTTTTTACCCCACTTCTCAGACTGCTGCCGCTGCTCGTGGCTGCATTTGTCCAGTTTAGTTTGTTTTTATACCACTTCTCAGACTGCGGCCGCTGCTCGTCTGAATCATGACCATGGTTACATTTAATTGTGTGTCCAAACTGGGAACCACACGGGCTCTGTTCACAAACTGATGTGACTCATTTCCATTTTCCTAAAGTAACAAAGAACGGCATACTTTGTCCACAGGAGCCTCCAAAACACAGCATGAAATCATGTATTATTCATTTCATTTTTCCCCCCCTATAATTGTGTTTGTAAATCACTTAAATCGCGCTACTCTGATTGGTAGAACCTGAAGTTGAACGTGAGTCCATACCGGTGTGAGAGCGTTGCCTCCAAAGAAGGTGACCTTGTGCCATGTTGAGATGAGAACCCAGGTTGCATTAAAGCTGGGGAATTCCGAGAAGTACATCCTGACATCGGCTGATGCCCTGCTCAGCAGAGAAGGCTCGCGGCTTTCTCTGTAGAACACTTTCCCCGCCCGGCGATTGTCCACATCAGCCCAGAACGGCGCTACGACTCGTCTGTCCCCGGCTATTGGAAAAGCTACAGGTGTGAACTGAGACACTTCCCTCAGGAAAGATACAAGGCCGTTGTTGTTAACCTGAGGAGAGAGGATAATTTTAGTCAGTTAATCACAGCACACTTCATTTAATTCTAATTTATTTAGACTTCGTGCTGAGACTCAAATGCGGCGACAGGGATAAGTGGACAAACATGTCCCGGTGACCTCACAAGGCAAACAGCAGCATTGGGCAGTGGATGCTGCCATAACGGAAGAGTGCAGCACACATGCAGCAAACAGATGTTACCTTGAAACAGCTGAGAAAACCTGGGTTCTTTTACAAATCCATCTGTTTAGTGGTCGTTCGAAGCCAGTGAAGCCATAATCCCCTGACAAGTTTAAAGTCAACAAATGAACCCGACTGTACTCTCCCTTTTCACAGAGCTCCTCTGTCAAAGAGTTGCACGAATTATATACAGGAACTCCTCCGTAAAGTGTTGGCCTTTTCAACCTAACAGGTGCAGAAAGACTAAAAAAGTGTTTTTGTAACAGGTCAAAGAGCAAAAACACAAGGACACACGGAGTCGTAAAATAATAACTAATTCGCTATTTATCCCATCCAAAACTCGAGGCTACTGTTTCCTAATATATATTTATCTATATTTGACACATTTATCATAAAATGACCTGTAATTTTAGTATTTATCTATATTTTTTTCTATATTTGACAAATTTATCATAAAATGACCTGTAATTTTAATTGAAATATAAGCACTTGTTTAAGCATGGGGAGCTAAAAAAGGTTATATCCAGCAGTTACAACTTCCTGAATTTATTATTTTGTGATTATAAAGCCATCATTTGGATAAGTCACAGGTAAAACCAACAGAGAGAGAGAGAGAGAGAGAGAGAGAGAGAGAGTACAACTTGTCCAGCCCTGTCTGAGGACGCGCCCAAAAGCAATAAAGACAGTCTCATTATTTTGCTAGACTGTTAGCAAGAAGCTAACGTTTTTTCTGAACAACCTTGTCTGCACCAATATGACAAAGCAAAAAATGTTTCTGTTTTCTAAAGTTCCCACACATAAAGCTCTGTCTCACACACACTCCACATCTTACTGTCCACCAGCCAGTACTTCTCCACCCTCCTGTCCACTGTCCACTGTCCACCAGCAGCCAAGCCTTCCTCGTTAGCTCCATCTCTTTCACCTGTGTCCACAGCTGCCACGGGTTGATTGCACTCAGGATACAAACAAAAAAACAAAAAAAACAACTCTCCACACAGACTTCCTGCCTAGCTGACCTTCACATGTCCTTAGAAAACACTACTGAGAATGCTACCTTCTTGCTTGTACACAGGCATTTTTAACTACTAGCGGGTTTGCCAAGTTGCTCCGTGGTTACTGCCGACATGTATTTCCTGTTAGAGTGTACTAAAGAATTGAACTGGAACTGCTAACTTTGACGTGTCATGTTTTATGCACTAATTTGGGGCGAAATTCCAAGTTCAACCAACCAGAAATGTGTTAAACCACCATCCCTACATATGACCAGCAACCTTGCTGGGTCGTTACTGTTTCATAGCTAACAGATTCATGT